CACCACCATGCCCAGCTAATTTTTTGTATTTTTAGTAGAGACGGGGTTTCACCGTGTTGACCAGGATGGTCTCGATCTCTTGACCTCGTGATCCACCCGCCTCGGCCTCCCAAAGTGCTGGGGTTACAGGCGTGAGCCACCGCGCCCGGCGACAGAACTTTTTTTTTTTGAGACTGAGTCTTACTCTGTCGCCGAGGTTGGAGTGCAGTGGCGTGATCTCGGCTCACTTCAACCTCCGCCTCCTGTGTTCAAGAGATTCTCCTCCCTCAGCCTCCTGACTAGCTGGGACTACAGGCACACGCCACCATGCCCAGCTAACTTTTTTACTTTTACTAGAGATGGGGGTTTCATCATATTGACCAGGATGGTCTTGATCTCCTCAGCTCCTGATCCACCTGCCTCAGCCTCCCAAAGTGCTGGGATTACAGTCATAAGCCACTGCGACCGGCCATCATTGCCCTTTATGTAAGTCAGTTTCATATGGTTTAACCTAATATATTGGTGAAAAGGGTCAAGTGTTTGTCTACTATCTTTCCTCTCAACTTCTGACTTTGAACATAGAACATAAGCAGTTAGATGTCTTTATATATCCTATTGTCACTCCTGTAATCAGATCCTCATCCCGTAGACAGTTGCAATAGGCTTGTAAGTGGTCTCTTTGTCTTCAGTCATGGTCCCATAAATCAAATTTCCACAATGCTGCCAAAATGTTCTTTCTAAAGGACAAGTATGAGCATGACAATTATCTGCCTAAAATCCATTATTGTTTCTGATGTCTTGGTCCTTATCCACCCTCTAGCTTCATTGATCCCAAACAAAACTTTATGTTGCAGGATATGCTTAGGCACAATGAGTCCTTTCTGTGATTCCCCTGACATACCTTTCTGTGAAATGTTTTCATGTTATTCCCTCTGGTGAGATGAGTCCTCCCCAGGTCCACCTTAACCTATCCCCTTCATCAAAGCTCAGCTTAAGGAAAATCTTTTCCAAAAACCTCAACCCTATGAAAGAGTTATGTACCCTTGCTTTATTTCTCCATTAACATATACATTTCCCATCATAACCCATACCATATTGTATACCCGTTTACTTTCTGCTTACCCATCTCTCCCAACTATAAACCCTTGGAGGGCAGGGATGTGTCTTGTTCATCTTCATAGCAAGTTATCACTATATGTTGACTTAAACTTAACTTCTGTATGTTAAAAAATCAGATATAGTAATCTCAAGCAGTAAAAAAAAAAAAAGAATCAAAGAATAATAATGATAATAATGATAAAACTTACTGCCTGCCAGGAACTGTAAATACTTTACCTGATTTACTCATGTACTCCTCAAAACTCTGAAGTAACTTCCTGTTAATATTATTAAATTGAGCCAGGTGCTATGGCTCACGAATGTAATCCCAGCACTTTGGGAGGCAGAGGCGGGTGGATCACGAGGTCAGGAGTTTGAGACCATCCTGGCCAACATGGTGAAACGCTGTGCCTAAAAATAAATAAATAAACAAACATACATACATACATACATATATATTATTAATTCACAGGGGAGGAAACTGACACAGAAAGGTTAAAAATCTGTTGGAGGTCATAAATAATAATTTATGACAGTATAGTAGAGCCATGATTTGAACCTATGCAGTATAAGTCCCTGGTCCTCACCCTTAACCCCTACAGTATACGTCCTCTTGTTTTTTGTTTGGTTGGTTGGTTTAATTTTGGGGGGGTTTCTGAGGCAGAGCTTCATTCTAATTTTTATATTTTTAGTAGAGATGGGGTTTCACTATCTCTAGACCAGTTGGCCGGGCTGGTCTCAAACTCCTGACCTCCAGTGATCTGCCCACCTTGGCCTCTCAAAGGGCTGGGATTACAGGTGTAAGCCACCATACCTGGTCTATAATATTGTCTTTATTATTGTTTGATTTGTTATCAGGAGCTCCAGATATACCAGTTTTCTGGTTCCTTAGCCTAAAAATCTTTTAATGAAAAGAGGATATAAGTAAAAATGAGAGTAATTTCTAGAGATCATAGAATTACTTAGGATATATTTATGTTGTTGTTTTTTCTTTTTTTTTTTTTTT